AAAAAAATTATACTTTAAACAAATTACATCGCTCACAACAATTAAAACAACACAATTAAATAACATAATTACTATGGAGCCCAATATACATACATCAGTCACAACAATTAAAACAACACAATTAAATAACATAATTACAATAAGAGTCTAATATTTAACATTTAATAATATAATAATATATTTTTAATATCATGCTATAGTACAAATAGATTTCATTTAATGAGGAGAGACGTGCAGATTACTAAGTCAATCTTTCTCAGTGTTTTAAAACGCGCATCGCGCACTGCGTCGCGTTTTGGTCCTTATATTGCGTAGCGTAAATAGCGTAGCGCATTGCGTAAACTATTCGAGCAATTCACTTTTAATGCCAAAAATAATATATATAATCATACAAACGAACAAATAATTAAAATGGTCTTAAACCATAAATTAACTTGGGCATTGAATATAAAAAATGACATTCATATATTAATTCTTCAAACAACCAAACCAAAGTCTTAATGTTTAAAGCAGAGACTCAAAATCTTAAAATGATCGGTGTTATCCAATTGAATTTAGCTATCATCGTCAATTCTATCAAAGTTATGGATAATTTAACTACAAAAAATAATTTGTACAATTTCACCAAATTCTTGCATCTCCTCATCATTAGGAAAAACAATGAAGTGTTCATCCCATTTCACTTTTGAGCTTAAGAAACATAAACATCACATTATTCTAATAGTCCAAAAGGTCAATTATAACTATATTGATATCAATTTTTCAAATATTTTTTTTTCAAGATAAACATGAAACATGATCTAATAATCACTCAAATTCGCCATAGGAGAACTTACTCAGTTTTGTGCCCTACGTTTTTTTTAGTTTTTATTATTTTATTTTTTATTTTTTGCCTATAAATAAGGATTGCCCAAATAGCGTGAGAAATAGCGCAAATAGCGCAAAATATAGCGTAAATTGCGTAAATAGCGCAAAATATAGCGTAAATTGCGTGCGCTTTTCTGGAACTGCGCGAAATTATATACGCTATGTCGCATTTTTTGGTGAAAATGCGCTATAGCGTGCTACGTAGCGCGAGAAATTGCGCTATTTAAAACACTGATCTTTCTACACGAAAAAAATCAATCTAATTTAAACTAATTAATTAATTATTCAATTCATCTCGACTTATATATCTTATCATCAAATCACAAACTGAAAATTAATCAAAATAACGTTTGACCCATATCCCGACATAAGAAGTCCAATGGAAGCAAGACTTTAAAAAACATAATAAATACTGTAAGTGTCTTTGAAATTCAACATTGAATAATATAATGGGACACAACTGGTTGTGATAAAGCTATCCACTCATGTTATTGAGCGTAAGATACTCACATGAGATCATAATGGTGATAAGTGTTGATTCTCATAATGACCATAACTCCTTTTGATAATCCTTATATCATGTTGGCTTATTTCTTAAGAAAACATTATTCATTTATGGCTAGTTATATGTTGATGTTTCTCGTGTCAGTAACCGAAAAGGTTTGAAAATTTTAATTTGTGGCGAAGATGACGTACCAAAGAATCAAACCAATATATTCTTATGATCATGATCATTGCATTATTACACAATTTATATACAAATTTGTCGTCTAAAAAACACATAGATAATAATTTCTCCGTGCATCGCACGGGTAATTACTAGTTCTACACTAACATATATGTGCATATAACGATGAAAAATCCCAACGGAATAGTTCAATAACGGTATTATAATATTTTTCTACTATTTTAAAAAGTTTTAAAATATATAAATGTATTTTTAAAAAATTTGAATATTTTTAATGAAATGTATTATTTTTCTTTTTTTTTTTAAGAAAAGTTCTAAAATACATAAATGTATTTTTTATAAAACTATTTTCAGGTTGAAGGAGTCGGCGACGTACTATGTGACTTGTTGAAAGATGCTCTAATACCACTTTGTAACGACCTCAAAAATTTTCTTATTATTATGGAAATATTATATTTTATTTTTGTAAAACTAAGTGCGGAAACATAAGTCAAAAATTTTCAAATAGTATGCATAGATCTTATAATAAGACAAAGTCTCAAAACAATTGCGTTGGACAAGTCTCAATAATAAACCTAACAAAAGAGAGCATTATTTCGTAATAAAATCACTAATGTGATACGTCTTCTCCCCCAATACGCCGCCGCTCCTTCCACCTGAAAATAGTTTTATAAAAAAATGGGTAAGCCAAAAATGCTTAGTGGGGCATAACATGTCACTTACGAACATTATACAGTTACACGATGGAAATATTATTGCATGACAGTGAATCTCCACCTTGTTTTACTTAGAACTAAATCCACGGAGTACTTGGCCATAATCTTCAAGATATTAGGAATTGTCATTCAACAACTCCAGTGTGTGCACCTCAACAATGAACATTGACAGACAAACACATGACGAACACACCAAAGACAGGATATGTGATTAAAAAATAAATAAATAAAAAAACATACCTAATCATCCTTTAGTAAAAATTTGTCTTCATCAATAAATAAAACTTTATGTTAACTTGAAGCAACAAATAATTGAGCATCAAACAATAATGAAATAAAATGAAATAACAAATAATGGACCACAAATGGTATACAAATTTCTGTTAAACTGAAGTAGCTAAGAATGTAGCCAACATCTAAAATGAAACAAGACAATAGACATGATCCGTAATTAAACTTGAAGAAGTCCATGGGCAGTACACCACAAAACACATACAAATATAATAGACTAACAAAAACTAAACTTAAAGAAGTGATTATAGAGTTTACCTATAGGTCAAGGTTGAAAAATCTCTACCCTCCCATTCAAGATTGTCAAAAGTCTAACACTGAAAACAAAACCAGAGGAGTTTCGTACTGCTCGACAAAAAAAAAAAAAACAAAAACAAAAGCATACTAATTGAAATGATAACAATTAATCCACGCAATGGTGTAAATTAAGTCGAAGGGAAAATGCAAATCAATGGTAATAGTGCATTATCGTTCTTCTCGGTCAGAGCTATGGACTAGGTTGCCGAAAAATTCTTACTGCTTTCCACGAAAAAAAAAACCCAGCAACATATCAAATGATATTATAACAATGAATTCACGCAGCGCAACCTAAACAATGAAGATTAACGACAATAGTGCATTACCGTTCGCCTCGGTAGGAGCTCTGGACTGGTCGCCGAAAATGTCATAATGCTTTAGACCGTTGATCAGTATCAAATTTCATTTTTGTAAAAAACGTGCTGATGAGCGTGCCAGAGGAGAAGCTGCGACATCGATCATCAGAGGTCCATTGTTGTTTGCACTCTCTCGTTTTGGTCTAGGGTTTGAAAAAATGAGCCTGAATCTCCTTTTTATTATGACATTCTTGTAATCTTCTCGTGGAAGGAATCTCTCCCTTATTTTCTATCTTCTTTTTTTCGGTTTGTACGATCAAATGGTTGATTGAATGAAAATTGTTTGAGTTTCGAAAAAAAAAAAAATGTCCAAAAAATGTGAAGTTGGTGGCAAAAATGATATTGTACACTGAAGGATTCATGTGATCCAACCCATTGGTTGAGATCAATAATCAGATGAGAAGAGGTTAAAATGTGAACCGAAGCCTATTAAACAACTCTCAATCAAGCGAACCAAACGAATGATTAGACTAAGATAAGCTAGGATATCCTGCCTAATCCGGCCAAGTAAAGATCGTAAAAAAATTTAAAAGTCTTAAAAAAATCTAATTTTTAAAATCTTAGGGGGTGGGTGTATTCAATTGGAATTTAAGTGACAAACTTTTTAAGATTTGAGATTTTTTAGGATTTTCAGATTTGGGAAGAATTATATGAAATTTTAAGTCTGGAGGTGGGATTTGAAGTGAGATTTTGTTTTTTTTTTTGTTTAAAAATCCCACCAAATCTTAAAAATTCTTAATAAATCCTAGTGTGAAATAAATTAAAAATTCTTAATAAATCCCACCATATCTTAAAAATTTTGTAAGACTTTTGAAAATCTCAATTGAATAGCCAGAACTTTTTAAAGTCCAAAAAAATCTTCACAAATCTAAATTGAATGTACCATTAGTTTTAAAGTTTTAATTATTTTTTTTTTTTTAAAAAATAAAATTGAATACACCCCTAATATATTTAAAAATGAATTGATAAAAATGTTTCACGCATTCTCTCTCCATACGCCGTTCTCCTTCCTTTAAAACCCCAGCAGCCCTCAAAACCCCAACATACACAGACGCACACAGTCACTGATTCGAAGCACGTTTCTTGAGACTTTAACCAGACATTTAACCGGCGATTATCGTCCTTCTTCACAGGTGAGCCACAATTGTTAAAAAGTGGATTTAACCCAGCTGTTCCTTAGCTGCCGCAATTGTTAAAAATTTCATCACAAGGCAATTTATTATACGTTTTGTAGACTTCACATCGATGTTCACGTAGTATCTGTATGCGCGAGTCATTTAGTGGATAAGGCCTTATTGTTTTCTTTTCTGATGTTTTACTGGTTTTGCTACTTGAAATAGTTGGTCTCGGTTATGTAACTCTTATTGAGCTTGTGCATCTTTTATCAAAGCGAGTGTTGGGTGCTTTTCTGTCGTTTCT